ATTGCCATACCTTAGGGATTAATAGATTTATTTTGTTGGTTGGCTCGTGTTAGGATGTAACGCTATTCTCATTATGTGATTTTTATCATTCACTATCTTCTGATTGTTTGTTAGTAAACAAAAAATATAGAATATTGAGAATTGAACATGCGTGATGCGGTAACGACGCAGCAGGCAAAATGCGAGCGGCATATTAACGATTTTTCCATATGTTTTACCGGATTGAATCTTTGGAATCTGAAGGCATTCGCAAGCTGGCTCAGAATACAGAAAAGGAGAAAATAAGTAAAGACGGATAAATTTTATACACGTTTCTTCACATCCACGAAATTAAAAATTACCCCTTTTTAGCCGTATATCACCATTAAGATTTTTTGGAATCTTTTTATTGTATTTACTTTTTTTATCATCGGTTCACGAAACTGGTTACAAATTCTTAAATAAAATTAATAGTGATTGGTTAATATTATAAGGCGAGAGTGTATACTTCTAGATGTAAATGCAACATTTCGTATTTAAAACAAAAAAAGGGCCTAAACAAAATTACAGTGATTTAAAATTTACATCTACCATTTATAAAAAAAACAAACAAAGGCCTTCTAGCTCTGCACAATTTACATATATGGTATGAGGTTATGTCTACTAACCCTTGTGTTACTACATAGCCAATAGACCTATATAAACAAAGTTTCTCATTTGCTGGTTCACAGTCTACATAGTCGTAGTCCAGTAGATAACTTTTTAAAGCAGTCCAAGCTTATTCCCATCTGAACAATTACCTTAAATTGGCAAGTCGTTTCAGTTTGTGATACAAGTTTCTCTTTTGCTGGTTCACGATCAAATGGGAGTGGTATAAAACCAATAAGTAACAAATTAATATCGCCAGCAACCTCTTTTTTATGGTTCGCAGTTCCTGCAATCGAACAAAAATTAACCCGTCTGTTAATAATTATAAACCGTTATAAATATAGTGACTGGAACACTATCTTACACTTTTTTATAATACTAAGTGACGGAACGAACAAGTCGTGCGCCTGGTGGTAAGCTACTAAGGTACACGCCTGCCTATAACAGTTGCATTGCCACTCAGAGCTTTAAATCGCAAAGATCCTTGGGGCATTGCGACTGCGCCCATCGCCCTAAGACATAGTTGACAATATCATGTGCCTGTAATTTCACCAGCACCCTTACCCTTCCAAACCGTAATGTTCACGTAACTGCTTGACGGCAGAAATAGGTAAGGTGGCACTACTTCCCTGGATAAACTCTTTCACAAGGAGCTCTACTGCCACTAAAATATAATTTATACCTTATCGAAAAGATGTGGACCCAGTCCAGACTACAGTGTAGTCATTTTGGTGTAGATAACAAAATGTAAATTGCTATCCAGACTAAATAGGATATTAATTTTTTTTTCGGACCTCAATCTCGTTTCGGGCGATTCTGAAAAATTCCTATTTTTCCCTTAGACTATGGAAACCAAAGGACATGTTATATTAACATATATAAATCAGACGTCATATGTATATGATGCATTTAGACCGTAGACTATGGAAACCAATGGACATATTATATTGACATATATAAATCAGACGTTATATATATACGATGTATTTAGACGTAAACATAAACATTTTATTGTCTTTGTTTAACTACTGCGTGCCGTCGTAAGTCAAAAGAGATAGCACTACATTGATTTCGTCGGAATCGAAAATACGTAACGTCATCTTAAATGCCAACTGTCCTCTTTTACCATTTTTAGAGTACCCTTTGATAACCGTTTCCGGTTGTCAAAGGGAAGTACATCAAATGTCAAAACCATAGTTTGGCCACACGTTTTATTGAATTATTCGCATGAATTGTAATGAAATGGACAAAAATATTGACAGTAAGTTTACTGTAAAGTAATATATACAAATTTGCAAACATAAAAAGTAGTTTCAACATTCAAGCCCTACATTTGCATGTCGATATTGACTTATCTATGATTATGGTACAACACTAAATCCGCCATTTGTGGTGGACATTTTTGGTTTAGGTAGGCACGTTTATTCGTATATCTTTGCGATTTAAAGCTCTGAGTGGCACTGCGACTGTTATTCTACACTACTACTACTACTTACTCGTCCCGTCACTTGATACTATAAAAAAAACCTGAGTTAACTTAGACCAAATTTGATTTGATACCTATACATATATCAGAACTTCAGAAATCTGTTATGTAATAAAGATAATTATCTTTTGGACATGAATGCAATAAGACGTGGTAGGTAGGTGGTCATAATTTATGCAAAATTTACCATGAGCTTTTCGGAACCTGCCCGTCGAAGAAGGTTCACAAACCTCGGCAAAAGGTGTGAAATCCCCAACCCGCATTGCACCGGCGCGGTGTGGTGGCCTATGGCCTAAACCCTCGCCTGAGAGGAGACTCGTGCTCAGCAGCGGGATATACAAGTGGGTTGATGATATATCTTTTGGATATGCTGGAATTTGAATTTAGTTTAAAAATTAAATCTGGCTGATCCCAAAGTCTAACTAAATATGAAACGTATAAGAGCTAAGGAAACAGCAACATAGTAAATGCTCCCCAAAATTTGACTAGTTTGTTGTTTGAATATAGAACAATATGTCTGAAAATGTGCACTGCTACCAAGTACTTAAATACTGAGCTCGTAATCTTATCTGCGGCTATAACAACAGGCTGCTCCCGGTGGTGGCATTCATAAATCATTTGTTCCGCACTGGGACACTCTTCCGACCTTTCAACCTTCCCCTCGCTTGCCTTATGTCACTAAAGAGTTGCTTGTACTAACACTTATCTTCATTGTATCTTGTAAATCGCCACCAGAAAAATTGTAGATTTTCCGCTCTCCTTTACTATAATAATAAGGGTGCGTACAGATCTGACGAATGCTCCGCAAATGCGCCTATTTGCGAAAAGCTCGCGAGCTGCACACGTGCATTTCGTTGTGTGTTCTGTTCGCGTGCCATAGGCACATATACTAGCATTGTATTTAACTGCACGCATGCAGCACCCTAAGTATTTTTAACATTTCTAGTATTTTGCGCTGCGCCACTACCACATCGGTACTTGTATTAAAATATTACACAAATTTTAACAACATTCATGTTTGATTTCAAAGTATTCGCTTGCCAAATAACCAGTTTAGTAGCAGTAGAGCTCCTTGTGATAGAGTTCGTCCATGGAAGTTTTACCTTACCTTATCTATTTCTGCCGCCACGTAGTAATGTGAGCATTACTGCGTTTTAGTTGAATGAGATGGATCCTGGTGAAATTACAGACTCGTGGGACTTGTCAACTTATGGCTCAGGATAATGGGCGCAGTGGCAGGGTCTTTCAGATCTTTGTGATTTAAAGCTCGCGAATGGAACTGCAATTGTTATGGATAGGCGCATGACACTTGTTCATACCGTCAACTTGCCAAGGACTGTTCTCACGCCATTGCAAATTTTGAATGCTTGCCGTTTTTTAATAACATGTCGCGTCACTGGTTGTATTTTTATATTTTCCTAGTTTTGAAAAGTAAAAGCACTTTAGCCCCCTTTAGCTGAAAAGCAATTACTTTAATCCGCTTACGCGACATGCTTATCCGACTAACTTCAATTTGTTAGCGTTGTATTTTGGGGGATATGTCGAAAGGAAAACGGTTTTTAGGAAGAACAGCATTAATGTTTTATTGTAATACCATCGAGTAAATACAGTTAGTTCATAACGAAGCTTAATATTCTTATCTATATCAGATATATAAGATATATCTTATCTATTACATTCTGAGCATTCAAATATATCAAGAACGTTTTATTCCCATTATGTCAGAGACAAGACTAAAGTAGAACTTTTTTTAAATACACTTTAAAGGCACAGTAATTTAGCGTCTTCCAAATTAAGAGATAAAAGTTTAAAAAAATTAACATTCTTATACTAGCGTTATATTACCTTTGTAAAAATTTTATTTATTTTAACAAAAATAGTTACTTTTTTATGAAAATTAGTCATGTACCATAACATTAACACACGGAATAGAAATATACTGCCTGTTCTTGACAGTCGTCTCCACAAAGTTGCTAATTCATTCAAGGGGCAATGGATACGATTCTTTAGTAAGATTCCGGTTGATGTTCAAAGTCTGCCATTTATGAGGATTAAAACTACAGTGAAGCAAAACCTTCACGTTAAAAGTGTAACTTCTGTGTACTTGGATGACAAAAATCCATGGTAGTCATCCTACCTTTATCGATCCTATTTAAAAAATATGTAAGACAAAGCACAAATTAGAATGAGAAAAAATGGCGGGCTTTTGAAGTTACAAGTACAAGTGTTATACAAATAAAAGTTAAAAAGATTAATTTTATTTTAAGTATATTATGAAGAAAATACGAAGAAAGAAATAGTGATGAAGAAAGTTAGAACTATATTCCTTATTTTAAACCGAATTGCAAAAGAGTTCATCCTGAAAATTCCTATAATAACGAATTAAACTTTTTGTTCAAAGTGACAATAATGTAATTTAAGTGAAAACATAAATATTGGCTCCCGCCGCTTAAAATACTTTAGAAAGCCCAAATAAGAGAACTAAGTTATCTTAAGATAAAGTGAAAACTTAATGTTGTAGAACCACAATGGAAAATATTTAGTAAGGATCCCGATGATTAAACGAAGACATGGCTCAAAGGACTTGTTTGCAAGCTAAAACTCTTAATAAAAAAATATTGTAAATGATAAATGTACACTAATGTTTATTTACAAAAACAACCCTTAGAGTTTCTTGCTAATTCTTCTCAGGGGAATCTGTCTTACGAATGAGCGGTAGAGTTTAATCAATATGATGATTTCAAGAGTAATTTGCTTACTTACGAAATAAAGATTAAGTTCGGGTAAAAGATTTATAAGCACACTAATTCTATTTTTAGCAAAGAAAATCTCCAGGGAGCGGTCGAGAGACTTCCTCAAAGTAACTTTTTAAATTTACTTTTCTCAGTTTCGACGTGGTGTGGGACGACCGGGACTCGGAGTACGGCGAGTTGCGACCTTACAAACTTTACTACTTCCTGCAGGATGATCGCATTGGCCTTAAGGTATTTAAAATGGTTTTGGCATATTTACATAATTGAGGAAAACAAGTTAATTTCAAATCAATCATATTGTAAGTAATTGAGCATAGTATGGTTTTTTAACTAAAATACGTCTACTTATAATATTGATTTTCATTGAATGTCATGATGATATTCATTTTATCTGCCTGCTTTAGTTACTTACTTTAGGATCAGAACAACGTATGTGATGATATGTGTATTTAATAATATTTATATTTGTATTAGTAATTACAATAAACTGTTAGAGTAATTTCGGAAAACATAAAATAATATTACAATTGATACAGCGACATCTCACGTTAGACTCTGGTAGCTGTAAAGGTACCAGCGCTGAGTGAGTAGCTTCATAGATTTTCACAGGTGTCGCATACGGCGGTAAAAGTCAAAAAAACCCGTTTCAAAAAGATCTATAATCTTTTGCTCTGCTGATTTTCTTTAGTTCTGCTGATTCCACGGAAGAAAAAAAACAATGGAAGAGCCATAAGTCTCGATTACTATCGGAACCTATGTCGCCACAACGCACACAAACAAAATGATAAACAATATGAAATCTTGATCATGATTGGTCATAGCTTCTAATTTAGAAACAAATTCTGGATTGTTAATATAATTTGAACTTTACCTAGCCGCTGTATCGTTGAAAGTTTAATACCACTTCAACAATACCTTTGTTGCAAGTTACGACGTTTTGATTTTACATTGAAATTTTATTCAACATGCTGCCATCTTGCGGCTAGTAGCTGGACTACGACGAAAGATTAACATCTGAACGAATAGACAATTAGAAAATTGAAAATTTATTAAAATCGATGATTTGAAATACCACTACGAGTAATATTTTTGGTGCAGCTAAAGAATGACACAACCATACCAAAATACCAAGAAACCATACCAAATAATCATTTATTCCATAGGCAAAAAATACTTGAAAACATCACGTTATAACTACTGCTCGTTCACTGTGCTGACTTCCCTGAGTAGAACGAGCAAGAAAGTTTGGGGATTTTGCTCTTTTCAAATGAAATTAAATGCTATGGAATACAGTTTGAATCGAATTTGTGTGGAATCTAGAGTTATGTCGTCTTACCATACATCTTTATATTGGTCGTAGTATTAGTATAGTATTCAATTTTGTATTATGACTTTTCAATTAAAATATCTTTAATAAAGGTTTTAAACTTAGGAAATGATAATATTATGCTCCGGAATCTTAATGTAAAAACGGTTCCTCGTGAAAGAATCGTTTACCTTAGTTAAATGAAATCATGGTACCATGATGTATTGTACTGTGATGCCACAGTATGATATCAGTCGTCTCCCTAAACTTTTCTCTTGTGTGTATAATTCGTTTACTTTTTTTCTTTCTTTCTTTTTGACACGAAAATGGTGTAGTGTTGATATTTTTACCTATCTCTGCCGCCAAGCAATATTGTGATACTGCGTTCCGGTTTTAAAAGGAATAAGTATGTGCACAATGTATATACACCAGCGAGTTCGTTAGTGCACTCTATGCTGTAACAAAACTCAAATAATCCGCAGTTAATGACGTTGTCTACTAGCCCTTGTAACGTTGTACCAATAAAATATTGAATTCTCTAGTAAAGTAGAATATTCAGAATGGAAATCCAATCTTTCTGTAGTGCGCCTCGTTAAGAAACTTTGTTTTTTTATTGTAATTCTTTCGTCCAAGTTCTTTAAAAAAAGTCGCAAAGCTAGAGTTGAATACTGATGCTGATTCTTAAATTAATATTGTTGTCATGATATTTGGTTACGAATATCTTTTCTCTTTCAATGGATATTCTAGTAAACGGTAAATTAATAAATAGTCCTCCATGTACTTTACAGCTTTATTAACCTATCTTCTACGTGTGCCTAAATTTTCAAATTTTACTTTTTAAAGCATAAACTTGTAAGAGATGAGAAAAGAGGAAAGGCTACCGCTACAAATAATAAAATTATAAAAAAGGTACAATTACTATAAACCGCTCCCTTTAAAACTAAATAACACAATATTCACCCCTAAAAGGCTTATATAGTATAATTATAATTAATAGTTATATTAATTTTAATAGTAATCGACGTGAAGTTTTACAATATGGTGATTTATGGGTACGTCTTCTCGTTTCAAGAATTTTGATGAGTGTGATGAGTTGATGACGGATAGAACAAACGTAAGAATAGTGAAGGAAAAGAGAATTTGAGAACGATTCAAAAATTTTAAAATGAGTGGCCAGGAACTGGAAAAGAGAATTACAAAACGGATGACGATGAAGGAAGTCAGCATAGTCACAAACGATATGGCAACGCATTATTGTATTTTAACATTGACCTGCTTTTAATTTTGTTCGAATATTATGCTATTGTTATTACTGCTTTATATTATTTTCTATGTTTAAATATTTTATTTAATATTTTAATGCGAAATTTACTCTTCAAACTATAAATTTATTATATCTTTATTTCATACGTAAGCGAATCACACTTGAAAACGTTACATTGATTATATACACTAACACGTTGTAGTTATAACCAGCCGGATTGAATTTCGCTTTCATTTTCATTGCTTTAAATTAAAATAAACACCTAAGTTTGAATATAATACTCAAATGATAATAATATTTATTCATGAAAATAACATTTGTTGTTACATAGCGTAAGTACAGCTTTTTGTAACATTAAATGTATGTTTAGAGATTATTTTAAAGTCGAGTCTGCTTTGCCAAGGTTTGGGGTGCTTAGTACTGAGCCCTGTCCTATGGAGCAGCCGTTCAAAGTCACTGCCAAAGATGTTAGGTTGGCAATCAATAATATGAAAAGAGGGAAATCGCCAGGGCATGACGGGCTCAGTATTGAGCACCTGAGACACGCAGTGCCACACATGTATAGAGTTTTGTCTTTATTGTTTACTCTCTGTGTGAGACACTCATACTTGCCACCAAATCTAATGAAAACAGTAGTTATTCCCCTTGTAAAGAACCGTATGGGAGACACGGCTAATAAAACTAACTACAGACCGATCTCATTAGCAACAGTTACAGCTAAAATTCTTGACAGAATATTAGATGTGTACCTGGGTAGTCGGATAAAGCTGCACGATTCCCAATTTGGTTTTAGAGAAGGATTGTCAACTAAGAGTGCCACTTTGTCACTTAAATAGGTATGCTGTTGATTACTATATCAATAGGAAGACACCCATTTATGCCTGCTTTTTGGACTTGTCCAAAGCTTTCGACCTAGTGTCATATGACATCCTCTGGACAAAACTGAAGGATGCAGGCATATCACCTGAAGTAGTTAGTGTCTTTTCGCATTGGTATAGTAATCAGAGGAATGTGGTAAAGTGGGGAAATGCACAATCTGATGAATATGTTCTGAATAGTGGTGTAAGGCAGGGAGGATTAACTTCGCCTAGACTGTTTAATCTTTATGTCAATAACCTCATTGAAGAGCTGAGCAACTGATGTTGGATGTCGCATAGATAATGTAAGTATTAACAACATTAGCTATGCGGATGACATGGTGCTGCTCAGCCCTTCGATTGGAGGTTTAAGAAAACTTTTGAGCCATTGTGAGGCTTATGCTGTGCAGCACGGCTTAAGGTACAACGAGAAGAAGAGTGAGTTTTTGTTATTCAAAGGCAAGAATAAAGCCAGTCTATGTACCTCCAATCTTGTTGAATGGAATACCATTGAGACGTGTTGCACAGTTTAAGTATCTAGGCCATATTGTGGTGGAGAGTATAAAAGATGATGAGGATATGGAGAGGGAACTCAGGGCACTGTCGGTTCGAGGCAATATGTTGGCTCACAGATTCACGCGATGTTCAATTGGAGTGAAACTTACGCTCTTGAGAGCATACTGCCAAAGTTTCTACACGTGTGCTCTGTGGTCTAATTTCACACAGAGATCGTACAGTGCCTTGCGAATCCAATATAATAATACCTTTAGGGTCTTGTTGAGGCTTCCACGTTTCTTACTAGCATCCGCAAACATGCGTCTGGCATGTTTGCGGATGCTGCTGTTAAGGATTTTTATGCCATCATGCGCAAAATGTCTGCAGCGGTGTTACAAAGGGTGAGGGGAAGCAATAACAAGATCCTAAAGCTAATTGCAAACAGGATGGATGCAGCAGTTTTCCAGAGGTTCACCGAATTGCATGTACTGCGTGCGAATCGGTGAGCCGCTTGGACAGCCGGGTCCGTCTCATTTTATTTTTAATTTTATTAATTTTTAGTTATGTAATTGTACTAACCCTAATAGTTATAAGTTGTTATGTTACTAACCTACTAATTTATGTGGATTACTGTGGTCCGAAATAAAAGATTTTTATTTTATTTTATTTTTATTAAAACGCTTACTTTGATTTAAACTTTCACGATTTTTACACATTATTTGATTTTTTTATTCGGGACTTAATCACGTATAAGACATATTTTATTTATATAAAACCAGTGTGCCTTTGCGGCCAATATAAGTAAATTGCCTCCCCCACTTTCGATCTTGCAAAACATGTTGCATCAGTGCTGCAACCGCTTGTAGATGGAACGTCGTCCTTTGTGAGGGATTCTGGTCACTTTATAGACATTCTCAGGTGAGTTTTGACGTAGAAGCACTTGTCACCAATGTTTCCGTAAAAGAATGTCTTGATGTTATTAGGAAGAGGCTCCAAGACAGTGAGATGTTGGAGTAAATCATGGTGTTGCTACGAAACTGTTTAGAGACAGTTACTTTTTGTGTCGTGCGAAACATTATCTCCAGATCGACGGTGTTGCCATCGGTAGCCCTGTAGCCCCGGTCATGGCAAATATCTGGATGGAATACTTTGAGGCCAGTGTAGACCTCTTTAACCATTTAGAGTGAAGTTATGGAAACGATATGTTGATGATGTTTTCTGCATTTTGAAGGGAAGTGAATGGGAAGTTGAGCAATTACAACAGCATCTCAATTCCATTCATCCAAAAATTAAATTCACGTATTAATTGGAGTCGGAACGAAGCTTGCCTTTTCTGGATTTAAAAGTGATAGGTCGAAATGACGGATCCTCGACGCACAAAGTTTACAGGAAGCCGAGACACACAGACAAGTATTTAAACGCTCTGTCTCACCACCATCCCCGTCACCTACAGTCTGTTGTAAGATCTCTGATAAACAGAGCATATGACCTTTGTGACCCTAAATTCTTGGAGAATGAGATATCTCACGTTCAGAAGGTCCTTAGGTGGAACGGATACAGAGTAAACAGACGGCAACCACGGCGGAAAGCTAAAGGGAAACGTCCTGACGTTTTAAGGCAACCGGCGTTGCGGCGTGAAAGGAATAACGGACAAAATCGGTACAGTACTAAAAAAGTACTCTATAAAAACTGTGTTTACGCCGTTATCTAAGGTCACGGGGCATGTCAGATTACCTAAGGATGTAATCCCCTTTCAAATTCCGGGCGTTTACAAGATTGATTGCAGTTGTGGGAGTTCCTCTATTGGGCCGACAAAACGCACCATAACGAAAAGAGTTAAAGAACACATCGCGGCTGTTAAGAACCGTCACCTCAATAAGTCTGCAATAGCCAAGCATTTGCTGGAATCAGGACCAAACCACTGGATTGAGCTTCACAATCCCAAGATTCTTTCTACAGAACGTCATCACTATCGTAGAATCGTACGTGAAGCTATTGAAATTAAAAAACACCGTTATTGCAACCGAGAAGATGGTTTTGAGCTTTCATCGTCACGGGATCCAGTTATCAACAAATGTAAGCGACATCAAGTATCGCCCGACAAGTCGCCAGATGTCGTGAGTGTTGTGTGTCGGTCTAGTGAGAACCCTAGTGCACAAATAAATAATGTAGTACAAATGCGGGTAGTTAGAAAAATTCGCACGGCTAGAAGATGCTGACACCCGCCTCTTCATTCCCTTCGAGACCATGGACGTTGCAATATGTCCGAAACGTCGAGGTAAATAAAATATATTTTATACGTGATTAAGTCCCGAATTAAAAAAATCAAATAATTAAAACGCTTATTACACTATCCTATTTCTAGGGCCCTGCGTTTGGTTAGGATGAGTGTGGCCCCAAGTTAGTGAGCCACTTATTATACTACTCTGCCAACCAGGTCCTAAATCATTCTGAACGCGAACCCGGCGTTGTACGTGTTACTATCATGCTGCCGTCGAAACTTGTATTTCCGTACATCGTTATTAATATAGTCTTTGTGATCTTTCTGCCCTAAATAGAGCATGTATTTGCATGCCTATCAGGCACAATAAAACTAATTTTCTTTACATGGCGATAGTAAAACAAACCGGGAGGACAAAACTATACGCCTGCTATGCGCGTCCGTCGCGGGTCGAATGAACTCCCACACTGCACTAAGTGTTATTATTCCCACTCCCCTAGTTGCAGGGCGCTGCAGATCTGGGCGCCCTAGGTCGACCAAAAATAGGGGCCTTATCTCTTACTACACCTTCCTAATTAGAGTAAGGATTTTTTAATTTTTTTTTTACAATACCAAGTGATGGGACGAACAAGTCGTGGACCTAGTGGTAAGCGTCACGCCTGTCGATAACGGTTGCATTGCCATTCCGAACTTTAAAACGCCAAGTACAGAGGGGCACTTTTTTACAATAACATGTAGTGACGGAACGAACAAGTCGTGCGCCTGATGGCAAGCTACACGCCTATCCATAACAATTACAGTGCCACTCAGAGTTTTAAATCGCAAAGATCTGATGTGCACTGCCACTGCGTCCGTCACCCTAAGACATAAGTTGACAAGTCCCATGTGCCTGTTTCACCAGCATCCCTACCCTTCAAAACCGAAATACAGTAATATTGAAATTATTGCTTGGTAGCAGAAATAGGTTAGGTGGCAATACTCTCTGGACGAACTCTTTCACAAGGAGCTTTACTGCTACAACGAATCCCTAGAAAATGGGTAGTGTAACAGACTTTTAACCGATGCCTTGGACTAAAACTAAGAAAACTTGTATCATAAAAGTCAGTGATCCGACGTCGTGAACACGGAAGATAAAAAAAACCACTCACACATTCTTATTTTGAAACACTACAAAATCTTGATATTGATTGAGATTTAAATTTAAAAAGAAATAACAAATTCTGGATTGTTAATATAATTTAAACTTTACCTTGTTGAAAGTTCTATACTGTCAATAATCAATGTGCTGCCATCTGAGGTTTATTGCTGAACGACGACGAATTGGAGTTGTTGATTCAGAACTAAATCACCAAACAAAAAGCGACAATATTGCAGGGGTATAAGCTTTACTTTCGTTTCTTGTAACAAAAAATTTTGGCATTACAAAAAAATTCCATAAACAGAAAATTGAAAATTTATTAAGACTTTCCGATGATCTGAAATACCACCACGGTAATATTTTGGTGCAGCTATCATTTTTGCACTTCAAAACAGCGTAATAAAGCATTTTTCTAGGATTTTAGAGAATTTGCATGAAAAAATTACATAACCACAACATACAAAGCGAAAATGGCGGACTGAGTTCAAATGGTCTTTCGACACCTTTAGTTGGCACGCGTCAGACGCTAACTAACCACTTCTACTGTGTTTATTGTTCTGTAGTCTTGAACACAATATTTTCAGGTACCTAATTACAATGAGCTATAGGTAAATGTTTCACTTAAAATTCTGTGAAATCAAAATCAATGCTTTTACTACTGCATATGGAAGTTAGCTCTGTGAGAACATATTGTTGCACAATTACAATTTGCAATTTAAATAAATTTCAGATAAGAATCGAGTACAGTACCATGAGTAGCAAAATACAATGACTGCGTGGCACAGTTTCGCCAGTCCTTTACATCCTAAATTGAGAAATATTACTAAAATTGTAAAAGCTTTCGACTTCGGAGTGAATTTCGACTCTAATTTAGAAACTCGCCTTGGAAAATCAGAACAATGAATATTTATCGGGGTCTGAAAGCGACCACTTCCGATTACAGTTCTCAATAAAAATTCCTCAGCTCTCTCATCGGCGCTTGTATGCTTAGACCTACAGTGAATGTAGGTCATAGGTAGATATACACTTGAAATTGGGGTGAAAGGGAAATTTATCACTTTACTTTTCTGTACGTCCCTGTAATTAAGTCGCCCGTTACAGCCAATTTGACTTATGGTAATAACTGATAAAAAAAAGCTATGTTAAAATATACATATCATTTATCTACATTTGTTACAACAATATTTGTTATCGTTAATGTATCGCTGCCTTAACATTACAGCCATCGAGTATATAACCATAAATAGAGACGAAATAAGGGCCTTCCATCCCTGGCAACTCATCAGTTGTATTGATATCACTTGTAAATATCAACTCTCGTTTGCGCTGAAATAACAAATTAGAAAGGTGAACTAGTACAGTGCCAACAACTGACCTGTGTGTACGTCTCCGTATATTCCAAAAATATTCTGTATTTATTATAACAAAGATAATATCTCTAACAAAGGGGGGCTGTTCCATACGGTGGTGTGGGAAAAACTGCAAAACATCTAATTACAAAATAAACGGAATCTCATTTCATCGGTAATAAAATATTATGTAATTATTCAATTTTAGTCGATTATAGCAAAGCTCAAGTTTAACTGGTCGTATTGAAGTGATTGACGACAGCCGTCAATTGTTTCAAATTCGGGCTAGAATCGGAGCGCAGTTGTCACCGTATGATATGGCAGAATAGTTTTCAAAAAAATTAAATGACATTTCGTCTCCATTTCTGATTATATACTCGATGATTACAGCTTTATATTAATAATAATAATAATAATAATAATAACTATAACGCATACACTCAACATAGCCCCGCACTAGGGAAACCCTGTGTCGCGTGTGCCATAGGCAACCACACATTACACCCTAGTTACTTAGCCTTATTGTTACCCTATGTATTGAAACTAAAACTAATTTTATTTTTACCTATCTAACTCCAAAGATGCCTATTCAAAAATTCTGTGTTTAAATTCATGGCGTTTCATGTTTTAGGAACTTCACGACGATAGGGGTGGAAAAGATCCCTTCCCTTTGCTTCTCAAGAAAATGAAGCTGCCTAAAAAGTGGAAAGAAAAACCTGGTAAGTTCGTTTAGTCGGTAAAGAAATCTTTTTTTATGATACCAAGTGACTGGACGAACAAGTCGTGCGCCTGGAGGTAAGCGACACACCTGTCCATAGTAGTTGGCCACTCAATGCTTTAATGAAGAAGAGCATTGCCACTGCGCCTGTTACCTTGAGACATTACTTGACAAATCCCATGTGCCTGTAATTTCACCAGCACCTTTACCTTTCAAAATCGAAACGCAGGAATGCTCACATTACTGCTTAGCGACAGAAATAGGTAAGGTGGGAATACTTCCCTGAATAAAACTCTTTCACAAGGAGCTCTATTTCTACCAAAATCGCTACATAAATAAAACTAGTTTGGCGTAAACAAATGTGAGCTGAACTCAACAGTCGGTAATTGACTTGAAGGCTTGAAATTGTTTGATGTCAACTCAAAAAAAACCAGCTGTCAAGTGTAAAAACTTCCAGTAATGATCTTTCAATGGCACTTGTTAGAGGCAAAAAAATGTCGATAAAAACGGACGTGGAAATGATATCTGTTCGGCAGCGGGTGAAAATACTTATCAAATGTCCCTTTCTTGTAATGGCTCAATCAGAATAAAGGGCTTTTACCGAATGTGAAGACGTTTTATGCCTATCGAATGTTCTGCCTGATGACTTTCTTTTTGTGTCTATGCAAGAGTGCCTGATTTAATATGTTAGATAGTATACTACAAAGCTTCGGAGTTTTGTTTGATTTTAGAAAACAGCAATAACAATGGCTAAGTTGAAATTTAAAGTATGAAGACAAAATTAAAACTTATCTATACTTTATTTTCGACTGCGGTATTTAAAGTTAAGTACATAGTATTCATAAATATTGTGTTAGAAATTAAACTATGAAATTGCCGTTCTATGTGGGAGATTTCAAACAGTTTTTGAATAAAATATGCATACCTACATGCTAACATTACTCTTCTACCATCTTGCTGGAAACTCATTTACATAATATTTAGCAATAGATTAATGAGGAACGGGAATCGTCATAGTGTTGGAATGTAATGAATCCACAGACATCTAAATGTTATTTACATTTCTGTGAATGAACCTAAATAGTTTTCCTTGCAGTATAATTATTATCTTGCGCAAAAACGGAAGTCTTAAAAATTTATAAATTATTCAAAAAGATGTTACTGAAAAAATTACGTAGAGCTTCCGTCTGCAACTACAAAGCCCGGCAACCACTAACGGGACGACACGGCAAGGGCTTTAAAATAATAATTTAACTTATTCGATGACAATGTACTTGAAATTTCAATGATAATGGTCATAGATACATCAAAGCTGCGATAAGCTTAAGGATACCGAGCCGGCAGCCTTCGGGATACTTCGGCAGACTTCAGGACGTCTAGTGAGACTCTGGGTGAGGGGAGATGGCACGGAAGATAGTAGCAGACAGTAATGCTTCGGCATGTCTAAGGATACTGGGGCTCTTGTACGTAGAGATGCCGAAGGCTCCTTTGCCGTTCCGTCTCGCGAAGGGCGCTGAGCCTATTATACGATGTTCAGCAGTACAGGTCGGTAGGAGCTACTACTGTTTCTCTGCGAGTGACGGTTCTGGACGCATTTCTTCAGAATGGCAATTAGCTGTTTTGGTTAAACCAGAAGTGAGATGTATTTCTTCAAGGCTGACACAGACAATTTGCAATAATTTTACGTGCAAACGTTTATTGTTTAGACTCTGTACTGCCTTGTCGCCACGGTTCAATAATCGATTTTCTATCACCAGTAATGAAGCAGTCTAAATCTAATTCATCTCTCAAGCTTCAATGTACGTTGCCCGTGGTTCGGAGAATTCATGACACCTTTTTTTTAAGTAGGGGTATAGTTACTTGAAACCTTGCGTTGATACTTCCCTGGAATGTAATGGATAAAATAGCTCGCAAGTTCATTTATAATTTCCATGTTATAATTTCGACTGCGGAATCAGGCAAACTAAAAACGCATATGGTGTTCGTTAGTTGAATCCGCTTCAAGTTAGCGTTTGCGCTGCATTAGTGCTACGTCAGAACACGTATTCACATATTACACCAATCCTAGCAGTACTTATCCATGTTTGATTTCCAGTCAAATGCAGAATTAAACGAAACGAAAACAAACAAATAATGACAAATTAATTTAGAAACATTGTAACTTTATTCAAATTAATTTCCAATTTCGATCTTTCATTAAAAAGATTTTACTTAATTTCAAAGTAGTCAGAACTTTAGAACGTCAATTTCATACTTTACCGCTTAGCTTTACCCCTAATATTAATTATCCAAAACTTTTTGCCATTCCTAAAAACAAATAATTTTAGCTTCTACATAGCCTTTGTAGAATAGATGGCTTCTCTCAGATTCTAATATCTCTCCAATAAATTCGATAGCTCTAATAAATACTTAGGGTCGTATTTTAGAACTCTACTCAATACTCAAGTCAGGACTTGAGTATTGCAGTGAGCACTGAAAATTATACTCAAGCCCTTGCCATTAGGGTCGTATTTCCAGTGCTTGAAATCATACTCAAGTCTGCTCAAGTCCTGACTTGAGCATTGAGTAGAGTTCTGGAATACGACCCTTAATCCTCTCGAATTGCATTATTCATTCTTATAAGAACGTATCACGCCAGTCGTTCATAATAGCCACTTGGCTTCCTTACGTAGTGTTCCCTATTTCTCTCGGAATTATTTATTCAACGTTAAAATTTTTCCGGCAATTCACTCGGGTTACTTTGTGCCTATAAACGAGTTAAAACTAATTAAACGGAACACTGGAACGCTATTTGAAAAGTTAATGCGGAAACAAAGTATGTAACATAAATAGTTTTACGGGAACGTTGCCGCTGTTATGTCAAAGCGAAATGCGAAAAATTTTAGCAAAATGTTGCAAACCGAAGCATGAAAACATTGTGAAAAATAGTTTGTTTTATTTATTGGTCTCCGTTCAAACGTTCCTTGCTGTCTGGGTACCTACATATATGTACATTGTATAATATTTAATAATAAGTGTTTGAAATAACTTTTCCGAATCTAACGTCGGAATGTTACTTGAATTTCTTGTGTGGAAATGTACTTCAACGTGTTATGAATGGGTACTCTTTATTCCTGCATATGCGTTCCACACCAATTTTAGTAGCTGAACTCACTGTGAAAGAGGTCGTCCAGCAAAGTACTGCCACCTATCCTATTTCTGCCGCCAAGTGGTAATGTGGGCATTATTGCGTTTCGGTTTTGAAGGGCATATGGGACTTGTCAACTTATGTCTCAGGATAACGGGTGCAGTGACAATGCACCACATATCTTTGCGATTTAAAGCTCTGAGTGATACTGCAACCGGTATAACAATAATAATATAATAATAACTTTTGGGGCTGCCTCGTTTCTGCAGTGACTCGGGGATGTTCGCTCAAGCGCGCGTGGATTGCTTCCACGCTATAATAGCGTGGAAGCAATCCACGCGCAAGAGGTTAATCCTGACGTTATGACGCATTACCAGGATCTCTGAGTAGATGATCTGTGAATAGATAGAAGGCTTAAGTTAGTAATACCTAATTGAAGCTGTAAAGTTAGCAAGTTTCTTTATGATAGAAAGATCAGTTATTTAGAGGAAACTACACTTTGTTTTTAACAAATTAATAAAACATCAGAATGTCGCTTCATTATCATCATTATTTCGAACGAAAACGAAACGAAAATCCCGGGTGGTTATTTGCTGAAGATTTTGACTGTCAGTACTAGAACCGTTGTAATATGGTTCATTTATTATCTCCAGTGATAATTGTGTTTTAATTTAAATTTTATCTAGTATTAATTAAATTTATCTACACACATATCATAAACAAATATCATATCATATTATATTCAAAAACGCAAATTACGACCAGCATAAAGGTAAACTGTTTTGTTAGAACAAATTTCTTAACTGTGAAAACATGATTATTGCTTCATGATAGCATCGAATAGAATTCGATGTTATTATTACATTCAAATTTCGAACAGCTCTGAAAAACAAAACAATTTGATTCGACCTCAATTTTAACATCAGTCAAGATAAGTTTTATTCGAAATTTCAAAAATTCTTCTTCTATGTCGTCATGTGGCGTGTTTCTATTTTTAATATTAATAAATAAGAAATAAAGAATAATCTCTAAAACAAAATGCTATTCTCCTAATAAAGGTGTTTTTTGTTTGGCTTGCAGTAAATTTCCCCTCTATAGTGATGGAAGTGTCGGATGAAGAGGTGACGGAATATTATGCTCCCAAAGACTTGATCGTAGGTGAAACTATCTTCGTGCTCGGACGCCGAATGTTGATTTACGATTGTGACGCCTTTACTAGGCACTATTACAGGTACGTGACTTTAATTTTTTTTAAATATCACTATTGAACCTGTCACCTTAAATCACCGACGTGTGATACGGTCTTGATGAGTTCATAAGAATTGTGTTTAGATTGGTTTTCTTACCTTATACTTTTTCTGTAGCATTAATGGAGCTCCTTATGAAAGAGTTCGTCCAGACAAGTACTGCCACCTTCTGTATTTCTGTTGTCAAACAGTAATGTCAGTATTCCTGCGTTCCGATTTTGAAGAGTAAGGGTGCTGGAGAAATTACAGGTACATGGGACTTGTCAAGTTATGTCCCAGGTTAACGAGCGCGTGGTAGCGCCCTTTAGATCTTTGCTCAGGTTTATAAGCTCTAACTACTACACTAAGTACTACAGCTGTCATGGATAGGCGTGTCGCTTCCTGACACACGAGTTGTTCGTCCCGTCTCTAAATATCATTAAAAAAATGTATGAATATGTCCTATACCACAAGATATGGACCAATTTGAATTTTTATTTGTTATACTCCCCGGAAGACTGCTTTCTTTTTAATTTCTTCTTACAATCATAAACACCAGAACAGAGAAACACGTTTGAGTTTTGGATTTGTTTTTAATTAGACACTTAATATGTAATAGTATTTAAAAAGGAGGATTTATTAGTCAAATTGCGCACTAACACAAAGCCCTTATCTGAGGGAAAGTATATGTATATTTGCTTTTTCAAACAAACCAAGGTTCAACTCCAAAATTAAAACTGTGCATGCAGCACACACAACATTTTTGAATTTTATGTATAAAATAAGTTAATAATAGTTTATATGAAATATACACATGTAGGTCTACGTGTAACGTTAGTGAGTTTGTAATTAAAGTCGTAGGCGTCAACGTCATTGCTTATGTAACTGCAAAACGGTTCCAGACTCGCTTGCACACATTAATGAGATTACGGAGGTAAAGTACAGGTACTCTTGGTATTATTTATGTTTAATTTCGGCCTTGATGTTGTTTATGCGTTCTCGAGTATTGTTCTCGCTATAATCCTTTATTCTCTAATCCAACACAAAAACCCGTTTTGGCTCGTGTACTTAAGTGGTAATTTCCAGAAAGTTCCTCTACGCTACTGCCTGAATTGTATTATTTACGTTGTATTCAAATGTATATACAATTAATTTCCGTCAAAATTGTTACTTCATCTTATACTTTACATATATCTAAACATTCATTTTTAGTTAAGGCGATGAGATGCCCAAAATCGCTTAAATATGGTATTTTTGTGTATGTTTTTAGGCGATAACATAGCACGTGGAACTTCGAAAATAGTACATCCTGTAACACGTATCTTGAAGTGTAGCTTGAAATTCCTAGAATATTGTGACCGTCAGGATGGCTGGTCGCCTGTGGCGCCTGGCACTGAGTGTATATTCAAGAATTGCTACCTATTTGCATTGCTACATTCTGACGTCAGGATAGCTGGTCAAAATTTTTTTTTGATTTCTCAGAATATAGCATAGGTAGCAATTATTTAGAAAAGGTAGCAAATAGTAGCAAATAGGTAACAATTCTTGAATATACACTCAGTGCCAGACGCCACAGGCGACCAGCCATCCTGACTGTCACTATAATATTGCTTATTGTCATAGTATAGAAGACTTTCCAAGTAGACATAGAAATGAGACTTCAGTGACTGTTACAAATTATATTATAAGATCTTTCACTATAAATCTAAACGAAACAAAACACGTCTGTTCTAGTCAAAGATGCTTTTCGTAATGGCGCATGGCGGCCGCCTGTCACCGTTCCGTTGATATCGATGATGATGATATCGATTTATTTCTTATTTCGATGAAACTAATTCTTAATGACGCAAAGTAAGTTTTACCAAAATAAAATAATATTATGTCACGATATGCTAACAATAGGTAATACAAAAACTGGATTACAGTGAGACTCTGGTGGCCATTTTTTGACATATTTTTCTGGGGCAAACCAAACTTTCTTACTACCAAATTTGGTGTGGTTATTTAAATGGAACTTATCTTGATTCTGACACTTTATTTGTTTTAAATAAAAGACAAATAACAAATTTAGGAGTAAAAAGTATCTTCGCCTACTAAAGTGCGAGCTAAATATTTGCTTGCAAATTATGGACAGGCCCTTAACAGTGAAAAAATATCATACACAAAAAAAATAATTAAATATAATGCACCAATTCGTTGAAATCAAAACAAAATGTTTTTAAAAAGTCAAATTTTTTACTGTAAGGTGACAATAAAAAATATATATATTTTTGGTTGGATTTGATTGGAGAACCTAAAACACAAAGTATTCAAAACAAAAATGAAATTATTGTTTGCGTCCTTGATTATTTAGTAAAATTGTAACGTTGAAAACTTCTGCTGCGTAGCTTGCATTCGTGGGTTACGTTGCCAGACCTCTGTTTTGACATGGGTTTGACAAATTAATTTATATTGTATTGTAATCGGCTGTCTACCATCGAGCACGATACTTACGAGATATGTAGTTGGACATAGTTATGCAAACTATAACCAACCCACAAAATGTTACTTTCGAGATAATTAGATTTTTGTAAAAACAGTGTGAAGAAATAAATAGGTAAGTTATTTGAGACTAGAGATGCGCCGAGTACTCGTTTGCTACTCGGTACTCGGTGTACTCGGCCAAATAACTCGGTTCATGAGAAGAGTACTCGGTTAAAATAAAGCATCACAGCTATAGACATAATAAAGTAAAATCAACAATATATTTAAAATATTCAAAAGAGATTTATTACTAGAAATTGTAGACAATTGTAACAATTTCTAGCAATTTAGTAATTTAAAAAGAAAGTTTACATTATTAATATTTAAAATTTAACAAAGGTAAGTTATGTTGTAGGAATATTTACAAGGCTTTCTGCGCGTTCAGGTAATAGTCTGTTCCTTTTTTCTTCATACACATTACCCGCTTCGGCAAATAACCGCTCGCTATACACAGTGCTTGCAGGTGTACATAAAAACACTCGTGCTAACTGTGCCAGTTTTGGATATTTTGTTTTATGCTCTGCCCACCATTGGAAAGGACTCTGCGCTCAAGACAATAAACTTTCATTGACATATCGGCCTAATTCTAGAGCAACAGGGGCTTTTAGGATCATCGCGTTCCGGTTGTAATGAACCGAGTAACTCGGCTCGGCAAATGTTAAACCGAGTAATATTCGGCACTCGGTTACTCGGTAAAACTTGTACTCGGCGCATCTCTATTTGAGACAAACGATGTACTGTAGCAGTGAGAACGATATAGGGAAACTATTATATAGCAATAAATAGAAAACATTTTGTACCTTTTTATTTAGTTAACGAGAACCATGTTCTAGTTTTCGTAATGAAAACGCCAAAGATCTACAGTACTTCAGTATGTGTGACATAGATCCGTTTAGCATATTTAAAAAAAGACATTATATGAAGTTAAGCAACAAGGTTCTTTTTAGCTTTAAAGAAGTTACTTATAAGGTTGGTACCCTGAAGGACTTTTATTTTCCCCGTTTTAGCTTGGTATGTTGCCAGGATCTTTTGTTAGCGAGTAAAGGACAAGTCTGGTGTTTTACCTAAATACATAACTCAATTTCACTCGAGGTGTGGGTTGTTTCATGTTTGCATAACATGTCCAGTTCTTATATGCTTTGATATTTTTTGGTTTGATAGCATTTTGCATGTAGCATGCATTTTAAGTACAACGCCATCTGTTAGCGGCAATCAATATTATGTTAAATCAAGCGGAAGGTCCAACTACCACACTCTTACCGAATCGGGGCGTATGGCGCCACCTTATTGGAGAAATTATAGTAGGCGCGTTATCGCTCACGGTCATTGATACTTGTCAACGTCTTAAATAAAAGAAGCACAATTTATTTACTTTATATTTTTGTTAACTTGCTTATTGGCATGGAGTAAATATTATTAAAAATAGGAAAATAGTTTTACAGCTCTATAAATTTCATACGGAAATCAAAACAAAACAACAATAAAATACGTTGTTCAAAATTCAAATTAGTAGATTATAGTATTTAAATCTAATAATCGTGTTCCTATATGTATAAATAATCGTAATAACAATCTTGGAAATGAATATTCGTGTTCGGAAATCCGATTGCCGAGGAACATTGAGAAAATAGAAGCACTGTACTTACATGGGGACACTTTATTAATTCATGTTAGTAGACAACTTTTCCTATGCAACCCATATCATATAACCACAGACATATATCTATATGTCTGTGCATATTCTCTTATATTTAAAAACTAAATTAAAATTTACCTGTACAAAGAAAAATCTTTAAACAAACTGGATATACTATTTTCTTGTATGTTTACCACGATACTTTTTTTACTAAATTAGATAGATACCTAGAAGTAGAAGAAAATACCAATTTTAAAGTGATTACACGCGGCGACTTTTTGCAGCGATGCAAATGCGCGTTCGTGTAAATGTCTTGTAGTGATACGATAGCGCGTATGTATCGATGCAGTCGCGCGCTTGCATAGCTGCTTAAAATCGCACGTGTGTAACCGCTCTTAGAAGGACAAAATGTCCTTCTAAAATTTCTTCTATTTAAGAGCGTTGCTTTTATCGGTGCGATTAGGTATCGGCTTGCGAGTATCTCTGCTGAATGCCATGACTTGTTATGACATACATGCATATTTACTTAGTTAATATGCATGTATGTCATTGTCTAGAGATTACATGGATGGAATTACAGGATTTAATTCCGCCTTCCCCTTTCCATCATAAGGGGCAAGACGCAGGTTTGCGTCCCACTCCTATGTTGTGGATATTCCAAGGATTCACATGAAGCATTACGCTTCCAAATTTATGTGGTGAACGGCTATGGAGTAAATTCCCAGCCTGCACTCTTGTTCCCTGAACGTCATAACTCCATTAGGGGAGATGGACGTCAAATACGCGCTTATATTTTATATAAAAAAGAAAGCCGGTGACGTAGAAGCTATTTAAGTACATGAGTAA